GGCACGGAGGAACCTGCTGCTGTCTCTGTCGGGTCCTCCTGTCAGTCTGTGCGCCCTTCCCCTTCATCTTCTTCTCCTTCGCTGGCTGAGCAGCTGGTAGGGCTGGTGGAGCTGCGAATGGCTGAACTGGGGCGGATGGCTGGGCACGATCATGGACGGTCTCCCTCCTGATGCTAGCGTCCACCTCCTGGGCGATAGAAACTACACGAGCGTAGGTATGTGTCCTGTGTCCCACAATGTTATGACGGACTGCTGGGTAAAGCCCATGGATGAACCGCTGTGCTCTCTGGGCCTCCGTGCGAACCAGGTCCGGAAAGAAAGCTGCAAGTCTCGTAAACTCTCGCTCGTACTCATCAACCGTACGAGTGCCCTGCTGGAGCGCTAAGAACTGACGCTCCATCTCTGCCCGATAATAAGAGGGGTAGTACTTTTTGCGGACTAGCTCCTTGAGAATATCCCACGTACATCCCGCTTTTTCACCGGGACGCATGCTCCAGTAGGCATTCCACCAGAGCCTAGCATCACCAGTGAGCTGAAGCTGAGCGCAGATTACGCGATATCTATCAGGGCAGTCCATAACCTCGAAGATAAATTCCAGGCCCTGAATCCATTCATCTACGATGCGGGGATCTCCCTGCCCTGAAAATTTCTCGGCATGATAGTCGCAGAACTGTGCGACTATGGTGGCTTGAGTAGGAGCCGAATGATCGGGTTTCCTACGTGGCGGCATCTGAACATTGAGAATTTTTAACATTATTGAATACGTGATAATATTCTAACTGATTACTAAGGCACACAGATCTCTTGACGAGTTTCCAAAAATGGCCGATAAATACTGACGTGAAACCTGAGGGACTCTAGAGTCATATCGGAAGATACTAAATTCTAGAGTCATAACTGAATTCTAGAGTCATATCTGAACTCTAAAGTCTGAACCTGATTCGAGCATCTTAACTAAGTCCTGATCCATAATTCTGAGCATAGACAAAGTAATATGTTTATAACTGAAAACATAAATCAGCACTTACCTGTAGTCGGCGGGACGTGAGCATGACGGTTCAGGTTTTTCTTAAAATTACTGACTAAAAAACTTTTCAGAGACGCTGAAATGTGCTCTGATACCAACTGTAACACCCCGCCTTATCGTGAAATAAGAGTGCGAAAATTTCGCAATGTTATTTAAAAAATAAAATCTTTTACTTTGCGAAAACTGATTCGGTATGCTACCGTAAAACATGACTTATTTTGGAAAAACCGTTATCTTAATTTTTAATAAAATCATACGATTATTGAAAGCATAATTTTTCCAAAAGTCCAGTCAAAACATAAGTTCGTCAAAACCATAATCAGCGGAAACGTAAATCGTCATAATATATACACAGTCAAAATATAAAAGTCCTAAAGCCTTCGTCATCTCACGCTCCCGGCCCGACATCCTGACCTGAAAAACATGATAAAAGTGGAAAATGAGCACTATGGCACTGTGCTCCGTGGAAATTCATACTAATGTAAACATTGAAAATAATAACAACATCATGATCTTGGCATATACAAAACCTCAACATGAAACCGATAATAACATGAACATGAATCTGATATCGTCACGCAAACGTGACCCTGACCGTTACCTCATCTGCCGACACAAACTAATACCGGACACCATGTGCACACTCTAGTGGGCAGACTAGGGCCACTAGAACCCAGAATGGACCGGCGACCATTCCGAGCGGATACATGACATGAAATACATACCTCAAACATGGTACCGTAATTATAATCAATGTAGTACTTAGTCTGAGTCCCCACCTGATCCGTGAAAATAAAGGTAGTGCTGATTCTCGTAACCTGATCAAACTGAAATATAATATAAACAATTACTAATGACTATGCTCAGACTGATAAC